TGTGCTGTGGCCAAGAGCTGGGTCAGGCAGGACCCATAATCCTCATCAAGGAAATTAAGCCATGCATTGATTTTTCACCAGGACGGCACCCGCAAGCACGAGGCCGGCTGTGAAAGGCTTGCGTAACCCGCTTACGTGCCGCAGAGCCACGCTGCCCAGTCAGCCCCGGGGCCGGCCCAGCCGACAGCAGACCACAGCAGCAGAAATGCTATCGGGAGGGACCCGGCCACCACGGCTCTGGGCTGCCAGCACCGCTGCCAGACCTGCCTGCCACCACTCAGCCAGCCCCTATCCAGCCACAGCCACGCTCCCAGTGACCCCTTCCCAGGCAGGGAGAAGCGTTTGGCCACAGGGCAAGGCCACAGCTCCGTCTCTTGCAGGGACCAGGGCAGGCAGGGGCACCTCGAGCCAGCTCCTCTCCAGCCCACGGCCACCACTGCCTCGCTCCAAGAGCAAGAGTGCTGGCAGAAACCCTCTGAGCTCGGGGCTGGCAGCAGGAAAAGGACCCCCCGCCACATCCTCCATCCTCTCCCCAGGCACCGTGCTCTGCGCAAAGGCAGCAAAGGCCTTGTACCTTTGCTCTCCTCCACAGGAAAGAGCAGGGAGAAAGAAAAATAACTTAGAGAAGCATGAGACACACAAGCAGCACGTCCTGCAAGGGCTCCTGTAGGCTGGGCTGATCCTTGACCCCACAGCCACAAGATGCTGAGGCACTGCGCAGCAGGGCGAGGTGATGCCTGTCCCCAAACAGGCAAGTGCACCCCAGCGACCAGTGCTCCTCCAGGCTCTGCAGAGCAGGGAGCGCTGCTCGTCTCCCTTCACAAAGTCTTGAACATCTCTTGAGCTGCAAATACTTGGTGATTAGAGTGCAGTCAGAGCTGGCACCGAACTGAGACACAACACCGTGTTCTACAGCCAGGGGCCAGAAATGAGTCAGCAGGTCAGGCAACCCAGGGGTCCAGCCAGTAGGGAAGAGACCAGAGTCCAAACAAAGATAGAAAAACAAAAAAGAGAGGAATCATCTTTATTTGTGAAGTGTGTTAACAGATGGAACAATTCAATGCTACCCAGCAATAAAGGTATTAAGACTCCACTGAGCACTTGTCTGCTCACCAGCTCCTATGTCACGCAAACATCACAATGGCTCAAGCACAAGAACGCACGCTGTTAAACTGCCCCCCAGCACCACAGCCCCTCTTCACTCTGCCCCATCCCCCAGTGCAGCAACTTGAGACCATGAAGTAAGTTAACAGCAGTCGTATTTATCCAGTGTCCAGCTCCAACACTGCCTCCTGGTTGTCTAAGAGTAACCAAGAATAGCACCGGAGGAGCTGACCAGGAATCTGCCTGACACGGTACAGCACCACGTGCGGGTTGGTGTGGTGTGGCACACACCAAGGAACGAGCCCTTGGCTCGCTCCCCTGTGCCTGGTGGCCCTGCCCGAGTGCCTTACAGGATACACGCTGCTTCCACGCCAGGGAAAGGTGCAGCCTTGCTCCAGGTGAAGCACTGGCAAAGACACAGAACTACCTTCCCAAACCTTTGGTGAGATTGGGTCATCTCCAGACGGTCACCAAAGCGGTTTCTCCTTGATCCACGCAAACGGGGCAGGACAGACCTGCTGGGAACACAGGCCATGCCAGCCACAGCCAGTGGAGCAGCACGCAATGAACCACGCACATTTCACTGCATGTTCAGGCCTTGCCCACAGCTCCTTGAGTGGCCTCAAACGCTGAGCCGGGGCAGGGAGGGCATCTCAGAATGGCCCTACCCAACAGACCCTGTTCTTCCCAGAGGTCAGGAAGAAACAAGCTGTACTCCCACTCATCCCCTCTGTACCAACACAAAGAAACCTAGGACAGACAGCCAGTGACCTAGACTACCAGAAACAAGGATTTACACTTACAGGTAGAAAAACCCTCCCACAACTCTTTTTTTTTTTTAAAAAAAAGTGTATTTTAGATTCTACAACTTAAGTTTCTTTAGAAAGTGAAGTAACTTGAATCGCAAGGATGCACTAGAATATTTCATGGTACTATTTTACCAAAAAAATTAGAAGAAAACAAAATTGTCCAGACGAGTTGTTCATCTACACGTCACCTGGCAGGAAAGAAAGAAGAGTCAGATCACCTAGTTGTACCAGTCAGGCTACACTGTGCTAGAGGGGGTTGATGGAGCAGTATAGGACAAAAGCCGCCCTTCAGTAAAGCTGTGGGCTAGGACTAATCTCCTGCTTCAGTCCAGGGCAGGAGTTACCAGGCAGTCCTGGCTTTCCCATGCTTTAGAGCTCCACAGTAACGTCCAACACTTTCTTCTCCCTCTCCCCTTGTCTGCCTGGGCAGAGGCCAGACACACCGCTGCTCCCCACACGCAGCCCCAGCAGCTTTGGCAGGTTCCTACCAGGCCACTAATGGCCTGTGCCTGAACCTCATGGCAACACACGTTCCTCGCCACCTCCCCAGACCCTGCAGTGCAATGCTGGGCCAGAAGAGCCTCTGCCTGCATGGATGCTTCTGCTTCTTCCAGAGACTCTTTGCAGATACAAATACTGCAGCCCGGTCAGACCCCATAGCAGCTGACAAAGAGCTCCAGCCAGGTTACAGCTAGAGACGGGCACCTCGGGCCGTAGGAGCCCTGCGCTGAGAGGTGAAGAGGCTGGCCAGCAGCTGTTCTCAGCTGCAACTCTGCTCTCGGGAATGGCACTTACCTGGCCCCTGCTCTTAGTTAGCATTTCTCTGGCGGACATTCTTGTCCTTGTGGTTTGTGGCATTGCTTTTCCTGGAAAGAAAAGGGGCAGTGAGGAAAGAGAAAAAGAGCATAAAGCCCTCCCTACCCACTAATGTAATTCAGGTCCAAACAGACGGTTAAGAGAAGGCAAGATGAGAGTAGCTACCAGAACAGCGTCAGTCTGAGACACTGCTGCCACCCCCAGTTATGCGTGGTTTATACACAGGTCACATTAAATGAACCTTGAGGGGGAAGGCTCCCACCCAGCAAGCTGGTGTTATTCCCACAGCAGCTAGCTTTTCTATTCAAAGCAGATTCCCTGGATGGATGTGATCTGCCAGTACAAATCTACCTAAATACGAAAAAGCGAGGTACTTACAGTGGTGCAGAACCTCCATCATCATCTTCACATTCAGGACAGCACAGAAAGAAAGAACAAATGCCATCAGGGAAAAGCATGTAAGTAGTAATCTCTGCCACCTCTTAAAACTCTGGGGACTGCATTCCAGACAGGTTATACACTGAATACTACTGCCTGCACAGGGCTGAACCCAAAAGGTCATCTCACCCACAGGGTTCCTGTTTCGCTACAGCCTGGCAGAGCAGGGGACTACTCCTTACCAGAAGACTACCACCCCCGAGTGAGTTTTAAGCTGCTTCTTGTCTAAGTTTAGACAAGGCACAAACTAAGACATAAGCTCCTGTTACGCAGTTGCTTCTGCTGGCACAGCGTAGGCTTGGCTCACAGGATAACAAAGCCACCACGGCTGCCCCCGCCATCAGCAGAGGTGAGGTCCAACACCTCATGAACCCTGAGGCACACCTCAGACTACCCCAGGAGGCCACAGAGGTAGAATGACACACGGAAGCATCCGGGCAGTCTCTGAAACAGCACTGCCGACTGTAACATCTGTTTAACATCTGCACCCTGTGTATCCTCAGCATACCAGCCAGGCTTCCCACCACCAGGACTTAAAACTGGGAAAGAGAGCCACAGATCCACCAGCAAGACAGCACAGCTGCCACTGATCTACCTGCTGCTCTCACCCCCACAGCACCACTAATTCAGATGGCTCTGAGCACAGACTTCAACAGCAAGTAAAGGGGAAACCAAACTGGATCTTTCAGGAATAAGGCTTTAAGCATCAGCAACAGTATGCCCTTCTTCCTCCCCACACATTTTGTGAAATCAAAATAAACACTGCACACCACATTCTTGCTACACTGAGAAGCACAGCTAAGAAAACATCTCTGCCAACAAGGGCCAAGCCCTGGGGCCTTTCACCAGCTCCTTGCAATCTGCCACCTTCCAACAGAAGGCTCCTGTTCACCTCTTCCACAGTCCAGGCTCCCCTCAAATGGCACCGAGCGGTGAGACCCACGCTCTAAGCATTGAGACTGCCTTGGCACCAAGATCTGCATACAGCTGGTGAGAGGACGGATGCAGAAACATGGCTGGAACTACCTTCTACTTACCATTTCGGGTGGCACCCAGCAGCAGAGAAGGGAAGAGTGGAAAGATAACACCAGCAAGGATATCGCACCATACATAACCCAGACTCTCCATCCCAGGTACCACAGAGCAGCCAATTCACAACCACATAACGTAAGGAACAGCATTTCTCTGAGCTGGCTCAGTAATGCCTTACTGTTACCTCCTCTCAAGAGGGGCAAAGCTACAAAGACTTTGAGGGAGAGATAACCAGGAAAGCGTAGAGCTGTGCATGTTTGTCAAACAGGTATGATGCTGTATCCTCATCCACAAGCATTTGGGAACCTGAACTTAAGAGCTCTGGCCAAGGAGCACCAGGACACTTCAGTATACACTCCCTGTTCTCACCTGTCAAAGCGTCTGCTACAGCTCTGACAGGTCAGCACTCGACGTGATCTGGACCAGGCTGATACCATCAGAAGCCAGATCACTCAACACACACAGGCTATAGTTTTTTGCTGGAAGGTGCCGCTACAACATCCTTAAGACGACATCTGCCTTCCAGCCAAGGGTGTCAGAGGGCAAAGCATCTGCTTGTAAAACTGCCTCGAGTAAATTCCCCAAAGTCAGGGGAGGGATATTCAGTTGTAGTCCCTCTGCTGCACCTGATGTGCTGTTCCCTAGCAAAGGGCTAACGGGTCTGACCCAGCAAGCAGGAAGGATACCAGGCATTTACACTTCATTGTTAACTGGATCAGATAAGGGAGGGGCGGCTGGTCTAACACAATGCAGATTCTTACTGATAAGGAAAGGGAGGAGCCGGTATTTCCAGAACAGATTAAAGATAGCACTAGGCTTTGAGAATCAGGATGCGTGGATCTGAGGACCCAGAACAGATCCATGAACTGAACCTGCATTAAGCTAACCCTGGTCTTACGGAGCTACTGACACAGCCCCCCGATTTTACAGCACCAGAAAAGCTCTACTACTTATTCAGTAACCAGCTTCTCCAGAATGTTAGCTGCCAAAGAAAACCCACTTCTGCAGACACTCACGTGAAGCACTTGAGTAAAGCGCAGAGGAATTGGTGAGACAAAGGGTCAAGCTGACCTGCACTGAATCTTATCTCTCTCCAGATCCAAAGCACACCTTGCTGAAGGACTGTCAGAAACAGTGCAATTGCTAGCAGCTTCGTGGCTACAGTACCCTTGTAAAACTACGTTAGTCTTTACCAGAAGTGCCCTGAGAAGCAGCCCTCAAATTAATGCCCATCTGACAAAGGGAACTCCCAAGTTCTCTACGAGAACATTTTGCCTGCACCCTACAAGTTCCTTGGTCTCCCCAGAAAGATTTAACCCCAGGCACCTCTTACCATCAAGAACCTCATCTGGCTTCCTCCTCTTCTCATAGATGAAGATGATGGTGACAAGAACGAGGACTTCTGCCACAATACCCAGGAAGGGCCAGAGTGCTGCCAGGCGGCTGCGTACACGCAGGTTTACCGTAGCACCACCCATGCCGTAAGAGTTGGTGGCATTGCAGTGGTAGTCACCTGCATCCTCCTCAATATTCAGTTTAAGAATGCGTAACTCGGTCTTGTTTCCACTGGACTTGATAATGTATCGACCAGAACCATTGATGATGGGCTGGAGGAAGGAGAAAAAGAGAGACAGTTCTCAGGGCAATGCTGACATGAGGGGAGCCACTCACTTACCACGCATGGTCCTACCACTACAGAAATCCTCCTGGCCACGGCACTGAGTAGGCTACTTTGAAATAGTTAATTCTGATGGGATGAGGTCCTCCACCTCTTTGCTGAGAAGTAGGATAGGCAGAAGGGGAGAAAGAGCAAACCACAGCACGCACCTCTTGACCATTTTTGTACCAGATCCAAGAGCTGACAGGGGGGAAAGAGGGATTCTTGCAGGTCAGCACGCCTGTGTCCCCCTCATTCCCATGCTCAGACTTCTTGTATGCCATCACTTGGGGTGGAACTACGGCAAGAGAAAAAGAAATTCAGACACCTCATTACAGAAAACAGAAGATTTGTACACCCTGCAGTCCCTCTAGCCAGAACAAAAGTTAAACTGAAGTCAAGCTTTATGGGTAAGAAACACACAGTGGGTCTATTCCCCTCACCTGCCCATTGTTTGGCATTTTCAGAGGAAAGCACATCAAGCTGCTTCGAGAAAGGCTCAGATATATCTGTCATCCAGGTATCATCCCTCTCCCATTATTCTTGTGGGAACATGCCCACAGAAGGCTGATTTAATGCAAGGTCTAAGAGCTGACCTTACAGACACTTTAGCTGCCTGATAAAATGGAGCTGCCTCACAGAACAAGTCTGGTAGTATGTGTGTAGGGTCTTGCAGCCTTAATAAGGGCCAGAAGCAGCTTGAAAAAGAAGCTGAAAAGATACCAAAGCGAAGTGTTCAGTTCAGAGTTTCCCCACTCCCCTCAGACCCAGAAGCAAGCATATGAACTTACCTGAAATATTCACTTGTGCTTTTATCACTGGGTCTGTTTTGTAGACACATTCATAGATGCCGGAGTGCTCTTCCATCTTCCCCTCGATTCTACCAAAAAACCCAGGATGTCAGGTAAGCATTCAGCACAACTGACTGATCCACATATAGACACCAAACTCCAGACCCATGGAAACAGACATCCATAAGCATCAGTAATCTCCTCCATCTGCCATTTCTCCCATTCCAGTGCCAGTATTTACACTGCACCATGTACCTACAGCAACCCAGAATGGCAGAAGAGGATTTCACATACCACAAGTCTGACACGGGCCTGTCAAGTGAGTGATCACTGTGACCTCCTAATCTTGTGTCCTGAATCCTGAAAACCAGCAGCTTTCACTCCCTAACCCAAAGTACTCTTGCCATCAGGACCTCTACAAAGGGGAAAAATTTAAGACCTAGATTGTTAGCCAATACAGATGAAGAAAACCAGGAGCACCAGGACAACATCACACCACCACCATGTGCAGTGCCATAGGTACACTTCAGAAGTGGCCAACTCCATGCTCTTCCCTCTTCCATACAGACTCCAGGCTCATTAAAGAAAATAAATCACACCCTACTGAGCAAAGCCAACAGAATCTGAACTGCAGCAAGAGAGACCTCTAGTTAGCACAACCCAGGACACGGCCACATACCTCCTGTAAGACATCAGCCCTGCAGTTCACTTCTAAAGGAGACAGGCAAGGAGCTTAGAACAACAGCTTCAGAGGAAGGCTGTTCTTCCCATGCAGGAAAGCCTACTGAAACACGTGGCAAAGCAGCGGCAAAGAAACACCCAGGTTGGGTTACTCTGGATTGATCCAAGCACAGGGAGAACTCTCCCATTTTCCTTTTTGTAAAGCTGCTGCAATGAGATTTAGTGGATTATGCTGCACTGCAACAAACATCTCGTTCTGCAGCTTAGTAATACCCACTCGAGGGAAGGGGCAGGCAAAGTTTCAGTCCTGCGGCTGCACTGGGACAACAGGCTGTTTGTTAGTTCTGCTGTGCATGGCGCTTCCCACTTCCAAAAACCACTCAGCTTAGGAATTGAGGTCACGCGAGGGAGGCTGGGTTATAAATACTTTAATCCTTGTTCAGCTCCCTGTTGCTATGGGGAGACAGGCACGTCGGCACTGCCATACAAAAGGACATGATGCCTCTACAGCTGCTGGGTCAGTGCCAGCCAGGCCTGACTGTAATCAAAAAGGAAAGCTCACTGCACTGTTACAATAAGCCTGGTATTCCCGCTTCTGCTCAGCTACACCCTGCAAACAGTTCGAGCATCAACCGTAACTTGCAGGCAGTTCTCTAAGAACAGTTGGACTTTGGAAAGGTACATAAAACCCAAAGGCAGAGACAACATACGCTGGAGTCTCTCGTTCCACACATGGCCTCTAGGGAGCAGGGGCCCCTCAAAGCTCTGGGAGAACAGTCCCAGCACGCTGATGTCAGTGCAGACACAGGCCAGGCAGCAGCCCCGGCCACGCTGCACCTGACAAACCAACAGAGTCCAGCTGAACACCTGCACAAAAACATGAAGCAGCAGAACTTCTCTTAGTAAGAGGATATTTGTGGCATACAACTTTCCCTTCCTCCTCTTTTTTTGCCCCCTCCTCCTCATAAGGAGAAAATGTTGGGCCTTACCAAAACTCTGTTTAGCTCATCTTATGTTCTAGAGTTTAAACCCTACATTTTCAGCAAGACTGCAAGCACTTAGCTTTGGGTTCAGCTGACGGGAAATATCAACTGCCTCTGGTAAAAAAACCTGTCCCCTGTGTTCAGATTCTTATCTGACCTTGCCCCTGGCACTCACATGTAACTGGTGAAAGCACTTGACTCTGCATCCGTTTGAAGTATCTTGCCTCCATGCATCCATTCGTGACCCTTGATGTCAGCGTAAGGCGTAGACATGTTACAGGTGAGGTGCAGCTTGCCAGAAGCGTCAGTTACATCAGTTTTGACTTGCGGACCTGCATTCATAAATAATTTGATTGAAGTTAACACATGGTATACCAGAGGTCACGTGCCTGCCCAAGAACCTTTAATGCAAAACCCACAGCTCCTCGTCCCTATCATAGCTTTCACTTACCTTTGCAGACAGTTTCCTAGCAGAACTAATGATTCCAGCAAAGGAGAGACTCAAACCAGGCGACTAGGGCCTGACTGCACCTAGCAATAACCAGTGCTGACCCTGCAGCTGCTCCCACCATGAGCAGGACCGCTGCCATGTGTACTGGATAATTTTGAGCCTCCTGCTGTCCCTACAATGGGTGCAGCTCCAGCAGAGCTAAGTGCTCAATAAGCAATGGAAAAGGTCATATGTGAAGGGCAGAGCATGGCTCTCTTATGAGCCACTATAGCATTCACTGCGTCAACACCTTCCAGAACCTGAGCAGATTTGGGCACCTTCAGGTAACACAACTGATGGCAGTCAAGACCCTCTGTGGCGAGGGGCAGCAAACAAGACTGTATGCAAGCAATACGCGCATCATCTGATGCGGTCCAAAAGGTTTAGTCAGATTTACTCCAGGGAGAACACACAGAACCATGACTCCAAAAGGTCCTGGGCCTCCAGGTGCCAAGCATCAGTAAATTACACAACATAAGAGGGCACAGGCATTCCTACTGGTAGGAGGCATTCCCAGAAAACGGCCGCCATCAGCAGCACCATTACGCAGCCCTGGTAGCACTGTGGTTCCTGCCCTTCCTCCCAAGCTCAGTCTCTTGGAAGGAACGATTTTGCACAGGGCTGACAGCCATTTTGCTTTTCCTCCTACCCAAATCCCACTGGAAGAAGGTTCCGCTGGAGTCCCGTATTCCCTAGCACATCTATGCCAAAAAGAGCGCTACGCTGCTCTGCTAACTTCAGGATTCCTGGCAAGACCTTGGCAGGAGGTTAAATTCCCCTCACACTGGCCCAGGTTTCTATTACTCAAAGCAGCCGCCTGTCAGCTCCAGGGTTCGACGGCCAGCTCCGTCAGCAGGGGGATCTGGGGATCTGGTCACTTCCACAGAACAAGCACCGACATCACATTCAGTGTCGCACACAGACACGGCCATTTCAAAAACGGTTGCATCTCAGGAAACTCAAGGCAGGTTTTGCTCCCCACAGCTTGCATCACTAGCAAGAAAGCAAGGTTAAAGCAAGACTGTTCACAGGAGCAGAAGCTGTACGAGCTGTAGGGAAGGGCTGGTTTGTCAGTGGGGGTTAGGGCAGAGTCTACCACAGAATCAAGACTCTCAATTCTGCAAGCTAGCACCGGGACTCAGAGGCACTCGGGAATAAGCGGTAGGTTCCAGGTCTTTGGCTCCAGAAAAGGCGCGGGATTGCCGAAGGGCGTTTTGGTTGGGAAGCCACAACCCTTTTTGAGCAGGGCCATTTTGAGTCAAGTCACAGGCGGTGAGGGAGATGACAGAGGGTGGGAGTCTCTCGGTTCTACAGCTGGGGTGGGAGGGTGAGGGGAGCTTTCAGGAGCCACAGGACACAGGTGCAGGGGTGAACATGGCAGGAGACTCAAGACACCGGTGTCCGAGCAAGTGCCAAGGCCTCGGTGTGGCCACTCACGTTCAATGACAAAAACGTTCGCCTGGGAACGGATCCACTTGACTTTGGGGCTCTTCGACAAGTGGTTGCGGTCAGGGTCGTTGCTAGCCCGGCACTCATACATGCCCGAGTCGTCGCTTGTGAGGTTTGCGATGTAGATGGTACTGGTAGAGTGCAGGTTGTAGGTGGCGTTGATTTTGACACGGTCCTGCCGTGCACCATCCCAGAGCTGAGCATAGGTCTCATTTGGCTCGTTTCCCTCAAACCACCACTGGATCTCAGGGATAGGATTGCCAATCGCCTCGCAGTACAACTCGACGCTGTCCTGAGTCAGTCTCTTTTGAGACAGTGGTGACTTTATAAAACCAGCTATGAGTTGAAGAGGTATTAGTGCAAAGTGTTAGTGCAAAGCAAGAATTCACCCTCTACAAGCAAAAAACATTCAGCCATTGAGAAGACTCCACACAAAACCTTCCGATCAGCGTGCTCTTCTCTCCCTCCCCTCCACGCTCTCTGAACTCTGCCCAGCTCAGACAGGGCTGTTGCTTTTCACCGTTTCGCCTCCAGCCAACAATACCTCCTGCGACTCCGCCGCAAAACCAGCGGGAAGTATTCGCCACTATCCAGATAAGAAACCCACAGCAGTCGTGGCATCACCAGCCTCCTGCGAGGGACGGCATTACAGCCTGATGCTCACTGGGGCAGACCAAGAGCCTGCGACGCTTCCCCGGACACTCAACCGGTCCCCAAGCACTTTTAGTTCAGGATGAAGACAACATGGGGTTTTTTTTTTATTGTTGCAAGGGCCTATCCAGCCTCCACGGTCCCCACGCAAAGTTAGCATCCCTCGTGCTCTGGTAAGGTGCTCCACAGACTTGCCAAAGCATCCCCCCCCGCCATGTCACGACGGAAGGCCGGCAGCGGCGAGGCAGCACGACCCCAGACGGGTGTGCAGCACCACGGACCCAGCCCCGCTCCGTCGGCTTTCGGGGACCTGTAAGGGGAAGAGTGCCCCGTGACTCCCCCCTCACCCCAAAGAGGAACGCGTCCACGCCTCGCCGCGCACACCCGAGGTCAGTCGGCCGCAGCTCAGAGCTGGCTGGGTGCTGGGCACCCCCCGTTGCCCTGCAGCAACCAGAGGACACGGGTCACGGCTGTACCCACGGTACCCAGCATGGGTAGGGGCTGCTCCCCGCCCCGCTCTCGCACGCTTCTTTCATCACTCCGCTCGCTAAGATGCCCGGCAGATACTTTTAAACACAATATTAAGATAATGTCGTCCTTCTGGAGGAGGAATGTCTTGCGGTCTGCAAGATGTCGCAAGCCAGGTGAGGAAATGTGTAACATTCATTGTCATACAAACACTGAAATCAGACTTTCCATCTCGGGCAACGTAACTTTGCAGAGCTAAATTAGTAATAAACAGATTAAAAGCATGAGAAGCAGCTGCAGGCTAGAACTACGGTATTTTTTAAACTGCTCTTGCTGTGAGAGGCCAGAGGGTTCAGCTTTCAAAAACAGAGTCCAAAGGTCGGTCCGTGAGCCACTGGACTGCGGAAAGCCGACCTGCCAAACATCTTTAGGCTACTAGCCAGGCACGGCACAGCCAGAGCCACCAGCAGTCCCCAGGTGCAATCTGCCCGAACAAGGAGCAGGGCAGGGCCCCAGGGGAGCCGTCCTGGGAGCGGGCAGGAAGGGAGGCTCTGGCAACACCGCTTCAGGATAAGACATCAGCCGTGGGTCACCGTCACTTACGTGACTCAACGCAGTCAGATTTAAGAAGAACTAGTTACGGTTGCAACACGTCCTTCCTGCACACTGACTCCACTTCAGACATGCCAACAGCAGGCTTATGGGGCATCCCGCACACCGAGACTGCTCCCAATTAATTTACTCCATTATTAAGCACTTAAAGTTCACAATCACATACAACCCTCCATCTGTATACCGTGACATACAGGCACAGAGGAGGTGGGTTTGGGAGCAAACTTTTTGTTTGTTGGTTGAACGCCTTAAGATGTTTTAATAAGAAATCTTATGACCATTTTTTGGTGAGCGTAGAAACAAATCAGTATTACAAAACCAAGTTTGCTCAAACTTAAGAAAAATACAAGTCTGCAAGCTAAGTTTCAGAGTCCTAAATAAATCAATTCCACATTTCTCAAAGGGAAAAGCAGCTCTACATACTAAAGCTTTAAAAGTCTGGAAGAATAAACATGCCTGGATGGGGAAGGAGAGATCTGACCTTCATTGCTGGGGGGGGGACGACACTTTTTACAAGGGCATGTAGTGATAGGACAAGGGGCAATGGCTTTAAATTGGAAAAGGGAAGACTTAGATTAGGTATTAGGAAGAAATTCTTCACCATGGGGGTGGTGAGGCAGTGGCAGAGGTTGCCCAGGGCAGCTGTGGCTGCCCCATCCCTGGCAGTGTTCAAGGCCAGGTTGGACAGGGCTGTGAACAACCTGGTCTGGTGGAAGGTGTCCCTGCCCATGGCAGGGGGTTGGAACTGGGTAGGCTTTAAGGTCCCTTCCAACTCAAACCATTCTAGGATTCATCTGAGACCAAGACCCCTCTAGGAGAAGGCCAGCACTGCTTTTTAAAAAGTGGGACATGACAAGGGTCCCAAAAGACGTATGGGGATATCAGTTGTAAGCAACTTTCTCATATACCAATCATCACTTCTAGAACAACTGGCCTGTGTGCCAGATGGGTTTTTTTTACACCACAGGCCTGTGATTAAACACTCCCAACCACCTAATTGTGAGAAGTCACCGCACTGACTACGGCACTTGTAAAAGCTTGTCCCATTTTAACTACAGCCTGATTTAAAAGGGGAGCTAGCAAAGATCAAGGGGTTTGGGTTGTGTTTTGTTTTTTTTTCACACAGATACAAGGTGATTATTGTATGCTGACAAAATAAGCTGTTGCAAGGTTATTTGCTCTGAGTTAGAGGGCACTTCATGCAGTTCAGACAGGCTAAAAAGCTTCAGCAAGCAATAACAACAGCACCTACCATTTGCATTCACATGGGACTAATATCCCCTCTGCTCTCAACACAAAGCAGACCAGGCAACCAAAATCTTGGGCACTCAAGGCTGGCGAAAGCACCTGACAAGTCCAGGGGCACATGAGCACAGCCAACATCAACCTGCTGGAATCGATCAGAGCTGCTCAAACATTTTTCCAAATGGTGATGGGCTGCAAGCTGAAATCAGCTCACAAAAACAAGATATTTTTCTCAAAACTGAGCTGGGCGCAGTGCGGTATCTGATCAAGCCAGACAGTAGTGAAGGCAGGCACAACCAGACAACGTTCTCCGAAGTCACCTTCAAACTAAAAACAACCTCTGCCCGCCGGGCAGAGGGAGGAGTCCCCGTGGCGTGAACAGTGTCTGCGAGCCCAGCAACAGCGCTCAGGGCAGCTGAGCCTGGCAGGAGCCTGCACTGTCCTGCAGGGTACACCCTCCTCCCCGGCATGACCTTTGTTTCTTGGCCTCGGAAGGGGATTTTGAGGCTCTGACACTTTTTGACATTTCCACTAACAGCTCTAAAAATCTAGCCTCCCCTTAAGTTTTGCATAACCAGGCAGTCACAACAGAAGCAGGTCAAAGGGAAGTGCCTTCAGTCAGGATACCTCCTCCTGAGGGCACAGAGTCCAAGCACAGACCTACCCATGCTTCAACCTGTTGTTCTGGGTGGTGATCTACTGAAAGTTGGGATGCTGCAGTTTAGAACCACCACCTCTCATGGAGTCTGCCAAATCTACACACTGTTGAGAGGTAAAACCCGTCCCTTTCCAGCCCCCCACTCTGGAAGTGAAGAATCAGCATCCTTACTCACCAAGCCCAAGAGCCCCACAGCCAGGGCCGGACACGTGTTACACAACTGACGGGCCTGTGGAGCAGCTCTTCCTTCTGAGGCTTTTCAGACCAAGGATAGAAACAGCCTTCTCCACATCTCATTCGCGTCAATCCCTTAGATAGGAGATTGCTCATCACAGGCATCTGCCTGTGCTCAGTGTGGCAGAGGGAGCAGCCAACACGTGCAGTTTCAGGTTAGTTTATTGAAACTCACATTCTACCCTGTAAGCACGAAGCTCAGGAAAAGGTTATCCTCTGCCCTCCTGTTCCGCAGGATTAAAATGCAGCCCTGCTGCAAGGAAATATCAGAGCAGACACTTCTTGATTTTTCAGAATCCTCCCACTCTTTTGCCTTCATTCTTCAGGTTTGGTTCAGCTACACTGAGGTGAGTCTGATACCACAAACAGGCTACAAATTTTTTAGTACCTGACATGCTAAACAGCCAGGAACAACAGCCTACCACTCACAATAAAACAAAGCCTTTACCATCAGCACCTCCTGCACCAGGTCTGAATCAGAGACTGCAGAGTCCTCCGGGCAAAGAAACCGCTGTGTTTGCCAAGGCAGCCTGCTCACCTGCGGCTCTGAACACACCAATCGGCCTGGCTCCTTCGACGCTAGCTCAGGAAGTGAGAAAACAACATGTCAGAGCAACAGCACATGGCAAATCCCAGCTCGTTTGGGGTTATGCTTTTAAGTACCCAACAACAGGCTACTGTAACTCCCGGCACTCCATCCAGCTTCCAACCACACATCGTAACTGGCCAGAGACCAAGAGCAGGCATTGTTTCCTCATTAGGAGATTACCAACTTAAGCATCATGTGAACATCTTTAAGGGTTTAAAGCCCACGGATCTGTTACCCCTCATAAGCCCTGCAAACCAGAAGAGTGGTTGCGAGAAACAAACTGCCTAATTTTTACTAAGGGGGAACCAAGTCAGCTCCTCCGGGAGCACCACC